TTATTTCTAGAACGGGACATACTGGGAACTTTCTGTGTCGGTTTGTCTGTATGTCAGTTGCATCCATTATCTTTCCAGAATTTCAGATGCTTGCATGTTTTAGAGCTTTAAAAAAAAAAAATGCATGCATTTAGCCTTGCAAGTGAAAGATAGCTTTTAGAAACCTAAATGTATAAATAAGGAAGAAGAGTAGGAAGGGGAGAGAGAAATGAGCAAATGGGGATACAGCATGTGTTTTCCCCTAAGAGTGAAATTTTTCAAAAACGAAAGCACATGAGTTCTAGGTAGCTTGAATGCTGGGAAGAATTATTGTTCTGTAATGATCTGTAATAAATCTTGAGAAGTCCTGATCACGCGATCTTAATCACCCCACATTACCACCTATTGTAATATTTCTATGTGGCTTATAGAAGGTAAACTCCACTTAATATGGTAATATTTTAATATTGCCAATTAAGATAATTCAGTAATCAGTATCCTGTGGTGAGTAGTCCCTTATTACTTTCAATGAAGCAATTTATAGAATTTACAGTAAGAATTTTTACATGGAATGATTTCTCTCCCATGGTTGAGGCTAAGTATTGAGATGAAATTTTAGATACCCATCCACTCTAATCAAGTACACTTATGAGATCTGAGAAGGTACGTTACAAGGGAATTGAGGAAGATGAATGAGAAACTCTGTGATCTATCTTTTTTAAGCTCTATGATATAATTTTGCCTTGTAGGGAAAAGTGGTCACTGCTGACACCAGAAATGTAATTTCTTCCTAAGATCTCTTTTTATGTACTCAGGTCCTCAATTTTTAATCTGTTTTCAACATGCCAAAGTTAAAACTGAACGAGAAACCCCTCTGTATAGCTTCAGATTCAAAGATCTAATCTTGGAGAGGACATTGGATGTCACATAAACGCCTCATATTCATGCCCAGTCTGTTATAAATACAATATGGTTTTGACTGTAACACATTGAAAGTTGTCATCATCTCATGGACACCACAGAGATAATCCACATCTCCATTCTGTGTTCTCCCCGGAAGTGATGCCATCGCTGGGTGGCCCGTGATTTATTCTAATTTATGCTCCTGGCCCTAGATGTGGGCGTGGTCTTATGAGAGATGTGTTTTAGTTCCTGGGAGGATGTACTTTGTCACGAGGTGCTCAGGATCTCTTGTTTCTTCTCTGCTTCTAAGTGCCCGAAGCTCGGGGGGGGAGGGAAGCACAGTGACTTTCATTTAGATCTACAAGTTGAGAACAATCTTGGGAAGCTGTAAGTATTAACAGAATCCGCCTGATTATGAAGTGCATCTTTTACTTGCCTTTTTTTACAGTGTAGTAGCAAGAGAAAGACCTTGGCTCAGAGAGAGACAGGTTCTGCTGGAGCTTGGCCTGTTCCTGGTTGTGTGGCCTTGAGCAACTTAACAAAGCCCTCTGAGCCTGGATGTCCTCCTCGAAGAGTGGGTCCAGTGATAGTTCAGTGTCATGGGGTTGTCCTGAAGAGGTAATGAGGTAGCATTTGTGAAATGTTTAGTGGACGTGATATATTACCCCATCAAGAGGATGAGGAGAGAGAGGCTCTGGGAAGTTTGCTTGTCTGGTCTACTCCGTGGGGATGGCTGAGCAGGGACAGCCACATGGCAGTCTGAGTCCGGAGCGTGGCCCCTTCACACTGTGCTGTGCTCATCAATCCATGATGGGGAGTGGGCCGGATAGACATCCTGTCCTCAAATCTCTCCTGTTCCTTATGTGGGCCGCCCTGCTGTACTCTGTTGACAGGGCTTGAAGACCACCAGCCCACTCTCCCCTCTCCTCCCCCCTCCTTTATCCCAGGAGCATTGGCAGCAGCCTCCTGACCCAGTTCTGTCCTCTTGCTGCTCTATAAAAAGCCCTGCAGAGGACAGGGGCCCTGCCCTCCTCTACCAGGCTGCGGATGCAACAGGGAAGCCAGGCCAGACAGCCATCTCCTGCGTTGGCCTCTTTTTATCCACTTCCATTTCCCATTCTGGTCCGCATCCCGTCCAAAATGTGGCAGGGATTGGGAAAAGAGCCCAAAAAGCTGCCTGAATAGCAAGCCTTCAAATGGTTAAAAATAGCTGTTGCAAAGTCTCTGCACAGAAACCTAAAGGTAATTTCCATTTCCCCATTTGGTCTGACCTCATTTGCCTTAAACAGTCTCCGCCCCAGTGGGAGGAAAAGGCCTGTATAGTCTCAAGGTGGACAGAACCCATAAAAGCAGGACAGTGGCTGCAAAAAGTGACCACTGATTAGTTCCCCAGAACGTAGGAGAAAAAAAATTAATAATAATAAAAATCAGATCCAAGTATTTAGTTTTTCAAAACAAGTAGTTGATTTAAATTTTGAATTAGGTAATACTTGACACGGTTCAAAATCAAAAAGCTTAATATTCTATATACCATTACATCTCCATTCCGTCACCTACCCACCGGGCTCCCTACCTCGTTATAGGTAGGTAAGCATGATTGCTGCTTTGTTGTCTCTTCTTCCAGACCTTGGAGGTGGGGTGTGTGTGTGTGTGTGTAAGCAAATATGAATCTATATCACCAGATCTCCTTTTATACAGTAGAATACCACATACACTATCCTACACCTTGCTTTTTTCACTTAACATGATTTTTTTCTGTGCGCATATGGTTCCTCCTCCTTTTTTTTTTTTTTTTCTTTTACAGAAGCACAGTATTCCTTTGTATAGTTGTCATGATTTATTTAACCAGTCCTCTATATGGCTGTCATTTTGGGCTGTTCCTAGTCTCTTGTTATTACAATCAATACTAGGGTGAATAACTTTATGTCATTCTGCAAGTGGACAAGTCTGTCTGAGGATAAGGTTCGGAAATGGGCTGTGCCAGGAGCTACATGCATTTGTAATTTTGACGGATGGTGCCAAATTGCCCTCCCCGGTGCCATACCCAGGGCAGTTTCTATCAGCAACACCGTGAGCACCTGTTTCTCTCCGGCTTCCCCAGGAGAGAGTGTTGTCAAATGGGAGCGATTATTCCAACCACCCAGGGGAAAACGATGGTGTCTTCGTGTAGCTGGAGTGTGTTTTCTCTAATCCTGAGTGAGGTGGGGCATCTTTCTTCGTCTCCTTTTTGGTTTTTAATGTTTTATTTTTTGACAGCGAGAAAGGGCACGAGTGGGGAAGGAGCCGAGGGAGAGGGAGACACAGAATCGGAAGCAAGCTCCAGGCTCTGAGCTGTCAGCACAGAGCCTGATGCGGGGCTCGAATCCACAAACCTCCACAAACCGTGAGATCATGACCTGAGCCAAAGTCAGAGGCTCTGCTCCATCGACTGATGCCCCCGCATCTTTCATGTTTGTGCCATTTGCATTTGTTAAGCTCTAAACTCTTGGTCTTTTGCTCCTTTTTCCTTTGCATTGTTGGTCTTTATCTAATCAAGAGAGACATTATTGTCAGCAGTAAGTGTGGCAAATACTTTTTTTCCATAATCTGTGGTTTGTTAACTATGTTCATGTTGCTTCTTGGACTTCTTATAATCAAATTTATCCATAAACTTCTTTTTTTTTTTTTTTGGCTTCTGGATTTTGATTCATCATTTGAAGGTCTTTCTCCATTCCAAAATGATCTATTTTGGTACTTTTATGGTTTCAAATTTTCATGTTAAATTCTTAAATCATTTGGAATTGAACGTGGTTGATGGTGGGATGTCTAAATTAACTTTTCTCTTTCCCAGATGTATTTTAAAAGGACTATCACGGGGCTGGTTAGTGAAGAGGCATGTAATACCTCGCTAGATCCTTAAAATAGCACACTTCCAGCTAGAGTCTGACCGATTTATTAGTTCAGTCGGCATGTTGATGACACAGATAGTTGCCAGAAAATTTTTACCAGAATATTTTATGTTACAGATGTTGGATCATATGTGCAGTGAATTAAATGTGAGTTTTCATTTCCTACCTCCTGTCCAAAATGGGTTGGGCCGTCATGTCCCCATTAACCACCTCCCTCAGTGGGGGATTCTGTTGGTGCCTTAAAATAGTGGCAAGTGGAGGCAGAGAGTCCCTTAAGCCTTAGGCCAGAAATTCAGAACATTCCAGGCCAGGGTCCTAACTCAGTGTGGGACAGCTAATTAAAAAGCCCCTGACTTCAAGCCTTCTTTTCTGGGTAATAGCTCGGAAGACTGAGTACTGTCTAGAGCTCACATCCATAAAGCCAGCCACAACATAAAAACTGCCAGTTCAGGTTCTTGGTCTGTTAAGATGTGGTTGACAAAATGACCCCTGCTGTCTTATCCCCTGGAAGATACTAACCAGCACTTCAGTCATTCCTAAGAGTCTCCAAGGATTGCTTGGCAAACTTAATGTTTAGCATGAAAGTGTATTGCTCGGAGGTGACTTTTGTCGCCTACATTCCTTGGATGCTAATGGCAGGCAGTTTGTATCCTCCAGTGAAATTCTCACTGCAAAAATCAGATTTTTGTCACATCTAGCTCTAACAAGAGTTGAATGGGCCATCTCTCCTAGCCATGTGAAGACCCAAGATATTTAGAAACATTTTCTCCTCGTTGATTGGTGTACCCTCTCTCACGCCTCATCTGTCTTCATGGTTTGGTTCGCTTTTCTCTCCCCTTCTTCCCCTCATCTCCTCCTCGCCTCTGACGGGCCCTAACTTATCCACAGTATAACAACCATATGTCCCAGGTTTTGCAGAATTGTCCTGAGGTGAAATATGTCATTTGATTATTCCCAAAAGGACTTTGATATTTGTCAAAACACA